TCTTCTTTTTGAAGTCGGTAGAAAAGTTCACTGCTGAACATACGTCTCGCCCATAGTTTGCCTCATAAAGAATTCTGCCATAGTTGCCACGCTTGACTGGTTGATTGGCAACCACAAGTTATTATTTTTATTTAGCTGTTATCAGGAAGATGCTGCTAACCATCTTCTATCTCAGTTTCAACATGTCGCCTCTTACGAAATCCACGTTACGACATGGGCTAGTAAATCTTACACCGCCACTACACGGTTCAATTATATACCAAGTGATTACACTGGCCAGACACTCACGATATGAAATGAGGTAAAAATAAAGTTTCGTCTGCCGCCACACGACGAAGTCTTATAATCGAGTCTTTAAAGCTAGGCATATATAAGCATAGTACAATTAAATTACAGTAGGTGGCGCGCGTGTCGTAGCGACTATTTATTTGAAAGTCACAATATTTCATTCAATTTCAATGAATGCATTATCATTCCTAATTAAACAATATAACTCTTCCAAATTTAAAACGATATTTCCGCAATTGTTTATTCTGCGGTAGCAACGCGCCGGGTACCAGCTGGTATACTATAAAACTTGATAAGGCCCAATAAAGCTTATTTGGCTTACTACAAAAAAAAGAAAGTTCTCAATTCGAATGTGTGTTTTTGTTTTGTATACAAGTATTATATAATTATGTTATGGCCGACACACACGGTCAATTAAACTGATCAGTTGAAGTGACGTACATTCAAAACTAAAAAGTGACCATGAGTGTGAAGTCTTATGTTGAAAGAAGCCAGTGAGTGGGGAAATTTGACTTACATCCGTTTTAACTGATCAGTTCAACTGATCAGTTTAACTGACCATATGTGTCGGCCATTACGCGATGTATTCCTTAATTGTAAACCGATTTTAATGATTATATATTTGTGTTAAATAGGTATGGGGGGAAAAATAGGGAATAATAGTTTATATAAGTGATTGATATTCCTTTTCTTAACTCCTTTACAACGGAGCTTTAAGTATTTTAATAATAATATTGTAATTATTTTATTCGTTATAGTTATTTAAAGTCGACTATTACTTTTTGGTAAAAGTTTAAATTTTATTTAAAAAAATACTAGTTTTTTGGAACGGCATAAGAGAATTCATCAGTCCATTTACATCCGTCGTAAGATAGGATAGGGTGGCAATGCCAAAATATCTCATGGCTTCCGACGGATTCCAGTATATCCATCTCGTTTACGCCAGACAAAATTTTACAAATCGTTACTCATGTCTTAATTGCATGCAAATAACGCTCTGACCTTAGTTATTTCGATATTACAGACAGACACTTCAATTTTATTTATAAGTATTGTAAAATAATGTTTTTTCGGCTGATTTTTCTTTCATATTTTTTTAACTTCAGCAATAACGACTAAGCGAAGTTGGCAGCTATATAGCGTGCAGAACATTGTAATATTACAAATGTATGCGAAAATACATAGGCAAGCTTCAATCAGTATAATAAACTGAATTATCTATTATCTATGGGATAGCAATTGTGCTGACCTTGCCATTTTTAAATTTTGTAATAAAAAATAACAAAAAACGTAGAGACGTTCATGTAGTCGCTAGCGACCATTATCGTATTTAACGAATTTAATTGCACTTAAGCCATAATAGCGTTGTGAAAGTGTAGTTGGAGCGGTGTCGGCCTCGGCGTATTCATTGCACCACACTTCAAGCTATCCGGCATGATCAAAACGACCTGGGCATATGCATTTAAAACATAATTTAAAATTAAAAATTTTGTACAACCGACTTCAATATAAATTATTAAGAATAACTAAAAAACTATTGATCAAATTTATATTATATATATATATATATATATATATATGTATATATATATATATATATATATATATATACAAGTGAAGCACCAACTTTCAAATAAAAAAAGAATCATCGAAATCGGTGCACCCAGTAAAAAGTTATGAGGTAACACAAATAAAAAAAAACATAGAGTCGAATTGAGTACCGTCTCCTTTTTGAAGTCGCTACATACATTTTATCTAGCGACTTAGGAGTAAGTCTATATATGAGGAGGACGACTGTCTCATCTTTTAATAGCTAACTTCAAAAAGGTAATAATTCGACTGTATTTTTGTATTTATACCAGTTTTAAAATTATTTTAACAATTCTTTTTTTTATTAAGGTCAGGTTGGACAAAAATATTGTATTTAAGACACGTTTTTGACGTTCGAGAGCTGATACTTCTTAAAATAGTACCTATATACTCGAAAAAATATGCGCATACATGAAAAAAACAATTAAATTCTTAATACAATGAATTTTAAAAATACTATAAATTTCTCGAGATTATAGTATAATCGCCAGGCAAAAACATTGACGTTCGAGTTTTCATTTTCCATATATTTTGGGATAATTTGAAATTTTTTATTTAGGCCTTTTATTTCCTGATCAAAATCAAAAAGTTTCAAATAAAGTAACTTTATCTCCACCGATCGCACACTTACCGTAAGAAAAGCTCCCCCTAAACAAGAAATACCCCAAGGGTGGTTTATTCTAGTTGTTAAATTGACGTCGTGGTATAGCTTACTCAAACGTCAAATAATTAAACTTGAAAAACAAAACTGACTTAAAAACAAGAAGGTATAAAAAAGATGCGTGAGTGTCGTGGAATAGGTACTCGTTTGGAACGAAGTTCCTTTCGTAGTATATTTTTTTTTATAGGATAAGGGTGACAAACGAGCACACAGACCACCTGATGGTAAGTGGTTGCTGTGGCCCATAGACATCTACATCTATCTTCGATTAAGAATCAAAATGCAGATGCGTTGTCACCCGTGAGGACTAAGATGGAATGCCTCGTTTCCAGTAAAAAGGGTCTCCGGTTCTCTACACTCACCATACGAAACACAGCAGCGTTAAACTGCTATTTTACGCTGGTATTCTGTGAGAGCGTGGTCCTTCCCCGGTCGAGCCGACCCATTCGTGCTACAACTATACTACTAATATAGCTGCAGCATGGCTCTACCACGTATAAATTATTATTATTGATAAACGTATCATATTATTGATTAACAAATACAAATAAATGAATTACTAGCGTCTATTAAAATGAAGCGTCATTTAAAATAAAATAATATTTCTTTCATGGCAAGATAAGAAAAAGTGCGAGGGAGATGGATATTATGGATGGATATTCATCTCGCTTCCTTATAGCTGCCAAGGCCGTCCACATTACGTCGGAAGGGGTCGTGACGGAGAAATCTTACACTTTTTCTCGCCTTGCCCGCATCCGTCAAATTCGTACCGTCTGATAAGGAACTTCGTTCCAAAAATCTACATAATTACTAGCCCCTGAAGTCGGTGCGAAAACATAGTGTATCGAATAATAATTAAAGCCGAAAAACAGTAGATCCAAAGAGAATGAGCTCCTATTTATTTAAAAGCACGCTGGCACTGGTAATATTGGTATTATATATGTACATATACATAAGTATATATACATATATTATACATGTATGGGTGTTGTTACTTTGATAAATTTTGTTTAATGTTATATCAAAATGCAAATTGTCAATTTGATAGGTTCCCAAGGGTTCCCAATTTTTGAAGTGAAAATTTCTATAGACACGTTGGGCACTTTTGGGATGGGGAAGAAGCAATGAACTCGCGTGACTGTCACGCTCAGATATATATATATATATATATATATAGTTTTCAGTTCCGACGTGCAGTCCTATGACTGACAGTATTTTTAACGTAAACGGTAATTTACGTTAAAAATTGGGATACTCCATGGATGTAGCAGCGGTGTGAGAATATCCACTACATTTGTCCCGTGGGTGTCGTAAGAGGCGACAGAGGGAAACAAACCAGGAGATAAGCAGTAGCGTTTTCTTAATAACAACTAAAAAAACCGCGGTCACCAACCCGTCTGCTAAATCTGGCAGCTATGGCAAACATCCTCCTTATGAGGCAATCTATAAGGGAGGCCTATGTGTTGAGCAGTGGACTTATGACAGGCTATAACGACAACTTTATTGGTGGTTCCATATAAATTTTAAGCAAAATTGTCACTCCTATGGCTGGAAAAATAGGAGATAAAGTTCTATTGTAACTATTTAGAAGACATTTTAGTTGGTACCTTGTGGTTGTACTTGTGATATTATTTAGTTCACACAAAGCGGTAATAATAAAAATTAAAAATTTTGTACAACCGACTTCAATGTAAATTATTGAGAATAACTCAAAAATTATTGATCAGACCTTGATGAAATTTATATGGGACTACATGTGAAGCACCAGCTTTCAAATAAAAAAAGATTCATCGAAATTAGTTTACCCAGAAATGGTTATGAGGTAACACATATAAAAAATATGTGTTTTAAACAGTGGTAGAGCCACGCGGCAGCTTTTGCTGTCGCACGGATGGGCCGGCTCGAACCGGGGTGGTACCACGACCTCACAGAATACCAGCGTGAAGTAGAGGTTTACCTCTGCGTTTCGCTTGGTGAGTGCAGGTGGCCGGAGGCCCTTTTTACTGGAAATGAGGCATTCCATCTTAGTCCTCACGGGTGGCAACGCATCTGCATTTTGATTCACAAACGAGGATAGATGTAGATGTCTATGGGCCGCAGCAACCACATACCATCAGGTGGACTGTGTGCTCGTTTGTCACCCTTATCCTATAAAAAAAAAAAAAAAAAAAAAAAATTACAGTCGAATTGAGTACCTCCTCCTTTTGAAGTCGGTATAAAACCGACGTCAAAAACTAAATAGAATAAAACAATTTCCACATAATAGCTTCTGCAGTCGGTCGGTCGATCTTCGATCGAGCACCGACTTACGAAGCTATTAAGCGGAAATTATTAGGGGGTGGCATATTTGACAGTGAACTGTTTACTAGTTGATAACGATGATGATGATACATGCTGATGGCATAAATAATACAATATTTATTCACAGGGTAAAAATCTAATATCTATTTAATCTACTCACCAAGAAGAAGGCGTTGTTACTAGCGTCTGTGAAGAAGAATCGGCGCCACATTCAGCGTACCACGAGGTCCGGGCTCTAGGACTCTTGTCCTTGCGGGACAGCGTCGGTAGGAGCCGCTTTAATTCTGCGCCATACACAAAGTTCTTACAATAAAAATTTATATGGTTAAGTTTTATACTGTAGGATTGCCAGTATTAGAAAATAAGTTGGAGTAAAATAAAAGAATAAACAAATAAAGAAAGAGGAATAGCATTTATAAAAATATTTTTTTATCAACGAAATATAACAGTAAAACGACAATAATTTATTTTAGCTAAAAAGCATTAAAATGTTTCAATTTAGTTTGTAACTTCTATTGCTATTTATAACTGGCAATCCCATTGGTAACTTGTACACCGAGCGGCAATTCAAAAGTGTATTCATAAATGATCAATTTGAGTAAAACCTTTATACATTGTAGTATGAGGAATGAATAAAACCAACGCAGCGATTGAATAATATTTAATCCTTGATATAAATTATGTTGACAATTTTAATTTTATTAAAAATAGATCATCTATATATATCAAATTATATCATCGATATCAAAAAGCTTTATATTAATTTTAAATTTCTTCCACTTAACACTTTAAAATTTTATAAAAGGTGGTATTTTTCGGAAAAATAGTTGTATTTCTGAAAAGTTGCTTTAGTAAATGTACTGTTTTGTAGGTACAAAGGATTATTAGTAGAAAAAACTATTAATTTATTTACAAAGATTAAAGTGTCACATTTCTCATGCCACTCAGTGTATAGGTAAATACTGTGAGTAAAATGCAATCAAGTATATGTTTGTATTAGCTACGTTACATAGCGCGCATGAGCGCCAACATTACGCATGCAAACTGCAAATAACCTACTTTATTAATTACTACTCGCATGAGCGGTTGCAATGATTTACTAAAAAGTCATGCGACATTTATGTTTAACAGATATAATATTAGCAATGACAGCGGAAAGAATAACAATATCATTTTGAGTTAAACATTCAGATAACGTTAAATTATGCATTTTAATATTTTTCTATATGTATACTTCGAGTTAGTATCTATAAATACAATAAAAATATCGGAAAGGAAATAAAAAAATACGGCTTAGTTATAGTGCTTTGTCATGTACAATGAGTCAGTCAAGCGCATCATCGCATAGTTTATTTTATTATATTTTATTATTATGTTTCAATTTACGTCGTATAAATAAAATCGCTATCAGTTACGTCGTATAAAATTACAATAATAGTAACGATATAAATGATTCGGGATTTATTTCTCAATCAATTTACTTACGACGGACAAAGAAATAAAGTTCAATACAATTTTTTGTTCATTTAGAATTCAATCAATTAAAATTTAGAAGACATTCCGCCGCCACTGCACACAGTGGTGTAACATTAAAAAAAAAACGAGCAGACTCACGTCCCATAGTAAACATGCAGCGAAAAACGATACTGGCACACAGCACTTTCGAACATTAAAAACGAGTAAAAACGTCAAAGATGTGACGGAACCAGAACGAACATCGCGTGACACTGCGCAAGGTTGGACTAACAATAACAATGGCTCGGAGTAATTGTGGCCCACGGCATATTGAATGCAATTACTCGTGTTCTAGTACAAGATTTTAATGAGCGGTTTTTTTTTCATTGCCGCATTGCATCTTAGAACAAGCAGGACAGAGTAATACCACTATCATCAGACTTTATGTTCAAGTCTGCTAGACATTGGCATTTATTAGACATTTTATTAAGACTTTTTAATAAGGATGGTAAGTTGTCCATAGACACCAACCCGATTATGAAAGAAGAACGAAGAGAGAAGACTACGATAGAATCAATCGTTACCCGTATAGAGTCTTCAGCCTCCTTCACTCACCATATTATGAAACAGCAGGACTATTACTATATTATGGTTGTAGCAAGAATGGGTCGGCTCGAACGGGAAAGGACCACGGTCCCACAGAATATCTGCGTAAAATAGCAGCTATATGCTGCTGTGTTTCCTATGGTGACTGTTCTATCTTAGTCTGCAGGGGTAACAACGCGTCTGTATTTTGATTTATAATCATGGATAAATGTAGATATCTATAATAGGCTACAACATCCACTTAGCGTCAGTTGGGCTGTGTGCTCGTTTATCATCCTTATTCGTAATACTTCTCCCCATCAACAGTCTGTAGGATTTGATTTATACATTTTGGGTGGTTATTCATTTGTTTTTAATCGGAACGTAACAGTCATAGATCAGAAAATACAGATATTTCATGAAAAATTGATATATTCTCAGTTGCACTAGTTGATATACTACAGCTATTAGCTATCAACAGTTTAATTATTACAATGATTTTAAAGCTTTAAAACAGAAAGTGAAGGGGGAGACGAAGTTATTAATGCAAGTTATTTTGCAATATACGTTCGATTACGTTTAATAAATGAAAATTGTAATTGGTTGATTCAGTCAGTTCAGGTTAATTTTAGTAGCATTCTTGGATTTCATTTGGACATAAACTAAGTGGTGTATTAGACTTATATTTCGAAATAAAAGAAATATTATGAGAACAACAGTCATTCGCTTATTTAAGTCACTAAAATGTTAAAAATCTGAATAATATTGCAACATTGTCGTTATTAATATATAAACTGAAACGACTTGTGGATTATTAATTTCTAGTAACAAATAGGCATGCAGCAATTTATTCTAATAAAGTCAATTGAATGTACAGATAGTAAAACAAATATGTAGTGTCTATGTAGTGTCTAAAGAAGTGCTACAACCGCAACCGACAGTGGATATGATGTAAAAAGGAAATCTTGAAAGTGAATTAATAATAAAAGTAAATAATAAAAAATGGAGAATTAAAGTAAAGAGATAAAAGAGAATGAGCAGAACAAAGACAGTGCAAACACAGGACACATTCAAGAAGCGTAGCAGATCCGCAACCAGATGCCTCCTCTGACTGGAAATAACTAATATATTTTATCAAAATGTTGATAATATATTTGTTGGTGTCCGAAAAGGAAAAGAAGTAATAAATTATTAATATATGACTAACATACGGAGGTAGATCAATAAATAGTCCATATATATGTATTAAAAGTTTTACAAGTTTTATAAATATTAGTATCTACACATGGTACACGCGGTCTCTCCGTAAGTAGTGCCAAATGCCGTGAAATAAATGTACTAAATTAGAGAGCAATTTCGAGAAATAGGATTGACGTTGTTCTAATATAAGAAGGAAGAAGTTAATTTATCTGACACGAAAGAAGCAGCAGCAGTGTAGGCACTGCTGTTTTGCGGCAATAATAAGTACGTGTTAAGCGTTTATCCAGAAAAGATCGGACATTAATTTAAATTTAAAACCTAGATAAATATATTTATAATTTTAGAGATCATTGAAGGCAGCAATTTTAAAGTAGTGAATTGGTGCTTAGAGCTTGGAGTGCTTGGAGTTTAGAGCAAGCTTGTTATTTGTTAATTAGCGATAATTTCAAAAATTCTTTGACAAAATTAAAATAATTATCCTCACGATTGTATTTGAAAAATCCAAGTGTAAAACATTTGACAGGTAGAGATACCAAAGAGAATCCATGTGTTTCGTTTTCCAATTGCAAAATGGATACAAAGAGTGGTTCTTTCACTTCTAAAAATTTCTTCCTTCTATAACTATTAAGATAACAAAAGGAAAATTTAAGGGACATACTTAAAGCACACCTAAATGATTAAAAAAAAGCATAAAATCAAAAGTATATTGCAAAAAAGGAGCTATATAGACGCATCTAACTGAAGAAAAGGGATCTGAAGATTTGGCATGCAGGATTTTGTATCAAGGCAATAAGTTTAATATAGTTAAATAAATTAATTTAACAACTTGGATATGTATATAATGAAGGTAGTACCATAAGGACGTAATTTATATATATTAGTTATTTGCAGACGTTCGGAGCTGCTGACCTTTGTTTAGCGCTGTCTTCGCTTATTTCGTTCATTGTCAGCTTTTAATTTAAAGCACCCAATTGCTTCTTTTGGAATAATTTACCTTACACGATACGGACAGACGTCAACTGAAGTTTCAATTCATTGATTATTAAATAGATAGCTAGTTATCGTTTTGTCAATATATCGTTTCTGAAACAGAGAGAGAGAGAGAGAGAAGAGAGAGAGAGAGAGAGAGAGAGAAGAGAGAGAGAGAGAGAGAGAAATAAAAATTCTCTTTTATATTTTTCTGAAAATCTGCCATTGTTACCGTTAACTAGTTTTGTGTTGTGTTGACTATATAGTTTTTATTTAGTAGAATAGCAATTGGAGCATTTCGTTTCAACTTGGACTTTAGTTGAAAATGATTGAGTTATATTGAATGCTGAGTTGAGTAACATAAACCTTTAGCAAGAGCTAACAAAATGTTGAAAATAACTTCAAAATCTTATACATCTGATTTTTCTTATATTATTTTGTATTATAGTAATTTAAATAATATATATAAAATACGGACGATCTCTTAAAATTGAGTTTTAAAAACCACAAAGCTTTCGATAGAGTATAGTTGATGTAAGAAATATTAATTAAAATTATTATCTGTACATAATTGATAATTGCATATTTAAAGTCTTTATAAATATCCTTGTTAGTTACGTACTCGTTGTTCAATATAATTTCAGATTCCGTGATAGCTTTGATATTTAAAAGATTGAAATAACAGTTCCGCGTTACGGATGTATTTGATGATTATTTTTTGTAAGATTCATATTATGTAGTGGTCAGTATTTTTTTAATCCGCGTGTCCAGTTGACGCCTGCGCGTTACCTTCGTTGACAGCGCTAAGGTCAGTGTGCGTGTGCGCGACATGCGGGGCGGTGGGGGGCGGCGGGGGCGGCTGCGCGGGCCGCTCCAGCGGCGCGGGCGCCAGGCACGGCGACGACTCGGCCCACGCGCGCGTACCGTCACGTCGCCGAGACGACGCCGACAGCGTCTCCGCACTCGCAGCGCCGCTATCGCTGCTGTGGACAAACGCACTGGTTGAGACAAATTTCTACTAAATATTTTCACTCATTGAGGATGTAATGGCAGTGTAAGAAAATCCACTACCCCTTTTCGTTCCATGGGTGTTGTAAGAGGCGACAGAGAAATGAAACAAGAGATAGGCAGCAGCACCTTACGACACCCTTGAAACGATATGGGGTAGTGGATAATACTGCCACTTGAACAACCTCCTTCATGCTAATAACATAAATAATTCAAAACTGCGGTTGCCAACTTTGCTAAGCGAGGCAACTTCAGCAAATGTCTCACCTATAAAGCAATTGTGAGGGGAAGGCCTGTTCCGCAGTGGATTTTGATAGACTGTAATTGAAACGGTTTTTTTACATAGATTCATTACAGCTTATCATAAGTCCACTGCTTAATATAGGCTTTCGTTATGAGGATATTTGCCACAGTTGCCACGATTTGCATACGGGTTTTTAGGATTTCACGCCTAATGTCACAGATCTCTAGCTCGTAGATGGAATAAGTTATAGAGCAAAAATTTAGTTATTTGGTGTAGAATGTTGACATAGCAATTTGAATTAGAAATGTAATTTAATTATATTAGCGGGGAGGAGTATGTTTTATGTTCCTATTACAGATATAATTTTTATACTTTTTATCTTCAAAAATAAAGTTAGGAACTAATTAGGTATTTGTAATTTCTTAATATATTATATTATAATTATACCGTTTTTAAACAACAAATCATAAAAATATCGATTCATAATGTAGTTTTTTAAGCGTGATCCATGGACGTATAAAAAAGGCGGACTGAATCTCTCTATACAACTCAGCGAGGCACCCAAAATAAGTCGCCTCGCTTGTACGTACAAGGGGTCACGCACACATTCACACCAATAATAAGTCTAGAGTCCGCCATCACGTAACAATGTCGTTCGCAAGAAGTAGTTGTCGTAAGTAAAAACAAAAATCAGTATGTCGTTTTGCATCGTTAAATTTTGTAAAAATCATAGTGGTTTTATCAAAAAACATCAAGGAATCACCTTTCATAGGTGAGTCAGTAATTATAATCACTTATTTGAGAATTTTATGTCTTAAATTAAAATGCTATTTTCGGAACACAAAACATGAGTCACGTGATCAGTGTTGTTAATTATTTATAGAGAAAATTACCCGAAATTTGGGGAATTGCTATTATAAGTCACGTTCGGCACGGATACGGTATGTTTGTTTGCCCAAAAACCTCTTAAGGTTGTTTTGTGTGCATTTTTTTGTAACAATTTTCCTGAAAAATTACCCGATCGATTATAATGCCTTTTTTATACGTCCATGATGTGACTACAGCAAACGAACAATTTAGGGTGTCCAAGAACTAAGACGGGAAAAGCTTAGTAAAATTCATATCTGGTTAAAAAAATATTGGTCAAAATACGGGGTTATTTTGCGATACCCGGCCTACTTTGCAGAGAAGGTTCAGAATGAGTAATATAGGCAAATGGTGAAGATTATACGTGGTAGAGCCACGCTGCAGCTATATTAATAGTATGGTTGTAGCACGAATAGGTTGGCTCGACCGGGGAAGGACCACGCTCTCACAGAATACCAGAGTAAAATAGCAGCTTAATACTTCTGTGTTTCGTATGGTGAGTGTAGAGAACCGGAGACCCTTTTTACTGGAAAAGAGCCAAAGAGACATCTTAGTCCTCATGGCTGACAACGCATCTACATTTTACTTCATAAACGAAGATAGATGTAGATGTCTATGGGCCACAGCAACCAATTACCATCAGGTGGACTTTGTGCTCGTTTGTCACCCTTATTCTATAAAAAAAAATTAAAAAAAACCTCAAACATTCTGTCCTTTTCATCTTTTAATTTCAAATGAGAGGTAATGCATTATTTTAACTGATTTTACTACACCCGCACACATTCCTAAGGTTTGATCGGTAGGCAAAAACCACCCATAAATCACATTCAATTTGGGATAATTTCAAAAAAATTATTTACTCGTATTTAAAAAAAACTGCAATAACGGCATACCATTATTTATATATTTCAACTTAAGTTTTTAATTTAGCTACTGTTTGAAAAATAACCCTGTATGTACAGATAGAGCGGGGCCAGACTTGTATCTGGCCGACGTTCATTATTATTTGCCCATCTTCTGTTTTAGTTTCCCTCTGTCGCCTCTTACCACACCCACGGGATGACATCGGGTATTAGATGTGCTTACGCTGCACTATACGGCGACCAAAATGATAAGCCGAGCGCAATTATAACACGTACAAACTTACTATATGGTAGAGCCATGTATTATGGTTTTAGTACGAATGGGTCGGCTCGACCGGGGAAGAACTTTTGTTTTTATAGAATATGGGTGACAAACGAGCACACAGTCCACCTGATGTTGTTGCTGTGGCCCATAGACATCTACATCTGTCTTCATTAGCGAATTAAAATGCAGATGCGTTGTCAGCCGTGAGGACTAAGATAGAATGCCTCTTTTCCAGTAAAATGGGTTCCAGTAGAACTACGCTCACAGAACGCTAAAGTAAAATAGCAACCTTTGTTTTTGTTTAGTAAGTGTAGAGAACCTGGTACTCTTTAAAACGGTAAAGGAGCGTACGCCTCTGTGGCAACTCATCTGCATATTGATTTATGATTTCTAATCGAAGATAGATCTTGATTTCTATGGGCCTCTTGATCCACTTACCATCAGGTGAACTGTGTTCATTTGTTACTGTGAACAATTATAAAGTTGATTGTTATTTTAACAAAATTAACCAACATTCGATATGGTCTAGTGGCTTGGATGCCTGGCTCTCACCCAGGAGGCTCGTACTTTGACATTAGCCTTTAAAATTATTCTTTTAATAGAAGTAGATACCGATCTTAAAACTAAAAATCATAAAATAATTTCTACATAATATATTCTTAAGGCGTGCCAAAATATAGTGTATCGACACCGTAAGCCTCTATAGAAAAAACATCTCTCTATTATCCAGATCAGAGCTTCCCAAACTATTTTGAGCAAGATACCCCTTTTCTAAAATGAGCTGATACCTCAGAGACCCCCATAGCCAAATTACTTTAAAAATCCTATATCCAGTTTAGTAAAGTTTTTCATGTTGTACGAACTTGTGCACGCTTATACTTATTGAGTGTTTTTTGAACGTACAACAATGATACTCCCTACTAAAATATTAGTCATTCTTATAACAAGTTGGTACACGTAACACAACTTATAAAGTATCTTGTAAGTTTCAAATAAGAACTTGTGTTAATTAATAGGGGTCGATTTTTAGACCTCGTCGACCCTTAAAATTAGTTTTCGTTTATATCGACGATTCCCGGGGGGAAACCGATTTCGACCCCAAGGGCTCGATATCGACCACTTTGAGAATCGCTGATCTAGAGACTAAAAAGAGACTAAAACGCACGTTAGGGAACTGCCAAACAACAAGAAGATGTGGATAGAAATTATTGTTTGTACAACGGTTGAATTTATCAGCAGATAACATAACGGTATTTCATTATAAAAACTGTTATGATATCTTACGAGTAAATTTAAGCAAAGGAAGGCGAACAAAGTTAAATCATATTAAAGGGATTGAGGAGGGAGAAAGGAAAGTAGTTTTATATAGATTTTTCTATATACAATTATTTTTTTCGAAGCTAATTCAAAAGTTTATCCCAAAATTTTTTAACTCAAAATTATTTTATTCTTGTTTTAAAGTCAGATTTTTAAAGTTTAATGTTTATACTCTTTCGGATGGACTAAGCAATATTATGAGGTCATTATTGGCTTTTAGGAATATCATAAGTGCAAAGGTAACATCTAAAATGTCGTCTAAATAGTTGCAATGAAATCTATACCTTTATTTTTCCAATGTTTTCCTTAAATTTAAATGGGACCAACCTTGACATATACCACATTTCATTAAAAAAATCACTTAAACCGGTTCAGTCGCTTCTGAGAGATCGATGAATATAAATAACGCCGTCATATATATAAGTATCGAATATAAAACATTATACGTGGCGGAGTCGTGCTTTTTTTATAGGATAAGGGTGAAAAACGAGCACACAGTCTACCTGAGGATAAGTGGTTGCTGCGGCCCATAGACATCTACATCTATCCTCTATTACAAATCAAAATGCAGATGCGTTTTTACCCGTGAGGACTAGGATGGAATGCCTCATTTCCAGTAAGAAGGGCCTCCGGCCACCTGCACTCACCAAGCGAAACGCAGAGGTAAACCTCTACTTCACGCTGCTATTCTGTGAGGTCGTGGTACCACCCCGGTTCGAGCCGGCCCATCCGTGCGACAGCAAAAGCTGCCGCCTGGCTCTACCACGCAAAGTTAATTCGTTAATTATTACCCAATAATTAACGAATTATTGGGTAATAATTCGAAAAATAACTTATTAATCGGTAATATAACCGATAAATATCCGGTTTATATTAATAAAATAATTTCACATTCTGAAGTTAGGGCTTTAACTCTTAGAATAAGGTTTAAAACCTTATTCTCTAAAAGAAACTCCCTTAACTCAAATTATTAAAACTTAAAATGCAGAAGGGTGACATCCTTGAAGAATGAGATATAATTTTTTCAATTGAATGGATGGATTTAATGGTTATAAACAGCACACAGCTCACTTGATGGTAAGTGGATGCTGTGGCCCATAGACATATATATCTTTCCTCGATTAAGAATCAAAACGCAGATGTGTTGTTAGTAGTTACCCCTAATGATAAAATGGATCGCCTTGTTTCCAGTGAAACGGGTTTCCGTTTCTCGTCACTCACCATACGAAATTAAAAACATTGAGTTGTTATTTAACGCTGTTGTTTAGTTCGAGGATGGTCGTATGATCGAGCCAACCCATTCGTGCCACAGCCATAACAGCGTGACTCTACCACAGTCTAACTAGAGACGCGGGTGGAGCGCTCCCGAGCGACTAACGGCCGCTGTTCGCTAGGGTTGTTCCGTCACGCAAATAAAATGGTTCACACTACATGTGCGGTAAAAGTAAAGAAATTCAAATGTCCTGACAACCCTAGCATTTTATTGTTTATGTCGGCTTTTCAGACAACATCAAACGCGATAACTGACTGTATGTTCTTCTTAGGCTGTTACTATACTATGTAAAAATAATACTTATTACACGCTCAACATCTAAATCGTCTAAAAGATATTAAAGTATTTAAATCTTACCAATTGCTGAAGCCGGAATCACCGTCCATCGAATCATTCAAGTAGAAGGTCGAGTTGGTGATCTTGAGAGCGCTGGGCACGTCCGAGTTTACGTCCACTGCCAAAGACGAAGCTCTCCTGAACCGAGACTTGAATGAAAAGTATGTCTTCCTCGACAGAGTGCCGGAGTCCTTTTTACTATCGTTAGTTGGTATCGTTAGTTTTTCTGGTGGCGGCTTCTCTGGCAATGGGGGAGGAACGTCACCATTGCTGTGTCTCTTTTCCCCAATAACAGTCTTCAGTTCCTCTTTGAAATTTCCAGTGATCTTTGTCATAGGATTCTCAGTCTTATTGAGCATGTTTTTCGAATCGTTGAAGGAGATATTCGCGTAAACGTGATGCACTTCCGACTTCTCGCAGTTGGCGTAGATGGGCGCTTTCGTTTTCGTTTTCGGCGTATCGTAGGTCCCGTTCGGTTGCGATGACTTTGTTAACGTTTTGCCGTCCATAGCAACTGGAAGAAAAAAAAAATACATGTTCAAAGCTAATTAACGAGACGACATTATACAATATCGACCTTATACATAAGGGCTTTAGGGTAAATAATTTAAAAAAAAATTCAAGCTTAGTACCTATTATCTTTAAATAAGAATCTTAGTATTTGCCTTTAAATAGGAATAAGGTTATACATGCTGATGGAATGTCTGTAATGTAATGCAATATTTATTTATATTTTATTTATATAATAATATTTAACCAAATAAAAATCTAATTGTTATTTTAATACACCCTATCAACATCCGATATGGTCTAGTGGCTAGGATACCTGGCTCTCACCCAGGAGGCTCGGGTTCGATTCCCGGTATCGGAAAAGCATTTTGTTATTATTGTTTCTATTTTTATTTATCATTTTGACATTATTCAACTTACCTGAGTATCGTTTAGTGAGGTTGCGTTTGATTTGTCTCATTTTCTTCTGAGCAGCGCTGGCAATTTTCGTGAGGGTGTAGGGACCTCCCCCAATAGGCGGTGAAGGAAGCCTCGTTGAAGGCACCGCTGGCGCGGAGTTCGTATTCGGGGACTGCAATTAATTATAGATTTCTTAATATTATATCTTTTAAATACTGAATAAAGTATATTTTATTTTATACTAATGAATAAAATTTGAAATAAACTTGCTTCATAAAATGTATAATGATAGAGGTTAAAGAAAAAAGTGTCGGGTATTTTTATTCACATTTTTTTAAATAGAATAAGGGTGACAAACGAGCACGCAGTCCACCTGATGGTAAGTGGTTACTGTGGCCCATAGACATCTACATCTATCTTCGTTTGCGAATCAAAATGCAGATGCGTTGTCACCCGTGAGGACTAAGATGGAATGCCTCTTTTCCAGTGAAATGGGTCTGCGGTTCTCTACACTCACCATACGAAACACAGCAGCATTAAGATGCTATTTAACGCTGGTATTCTGTGAGAGCGTGGTCCTTCCCCGGTTGAGCTGACCCATTCGTGCTACAACTATACTATTAATATAGCTGCAGCATGGGTCCACCACGTAAAAAACAAGGTATATTGTAGTGGCGTTAGAGATTCCATCACTTAATTTCGCGCCATGGGTGTCCAGAGCCGTCTATAACACCTGGAAGATCTCACAGCTTCCGGTAGATGGCGCTGTAACCATCACTTTTAACTTAGACGTAAAATATCTAGACTGGCGACGGGGAGTGGTGTTGAAGATGCGATATGTCTGGTACTGCCAACACCAATCCATCTGCCAAGCGTGGTGATTAAGGTAAATCTGTATGGAAGAGGCTGCTAATCAGTACGGGAGAAGGCGCAGTTTTGTGTATTGATGAAGAGTCCGGTCTCATCACCAATGCTAAGATAGCTTACAATTTTACACTAAAATTTAGGTTAATGTTTCTTTCTGAAATATTAGTTATGTTTAATACTACCTGTTCCCCGCGACTTTGCCCGCGTGAAATTTATCACGATTGGATTTCATGGGTTTTAATTTTTGCGCAGAACCTAATTATTTTTTCTAAAATAAAAGTAGCCTAAGTTACTCCTTAAACCTGCTATCTGTTAGTGAAAGTCCCGTCAAAATCGGTCCAGCCGTTTCGGAGATTAGCCGGAACAAACAGACAGACAAACAACAATTTTAAAAATTGTTTTTTTTTTGTTATAACAACCGTTTATACTTTCATATTGGTAAAAAGCTGTTATTTTGACATTACAAACAGGCACTTCAATTTTATTTATTTGTATAGATTAATTTTTATATATAAAAATTACGTGTCACATTGTTTGTCCGCGATGAACTCCTAAACTATTGAACTGATTTCAAAATTGAAATTTTGTACAGATAGGATACTTTTTATCCCTATAAGCGACCTTCAATATTTTTTTATTGCGAATTTAAGGATTTTTTCATAGGACGGGTCGTCGGAAAGGGCAGAACAACGTCTGCCTGCCCAGCTAATTAAATATAAGAAATGGATAAACCAAACTACGGTATATAAAAGTATTTTTTTTTTAAGTTAAAAAATTAACGATATAGCATAAGATATTGTTTTGTGTATTTATTTACTCTAGACATCGATAAACTTTTATTCAAAATGCAATTTCTCAATTATAACGATATTGTGTAACAAATAACGTCACCTCAGTCTAAACTAGTGGGATCTCGTGAGGAGTAAATTATTAGTCCTCATTCCTGTAGTACGTGTGTCTACTGCCGCCTAGAAATCCTCATCGGTTTCGGAATATAATTACAACTTTTCAAATGTGTCGTTCGTAAAATTCCGCCACCCTGAGTCTAGACCTCGTGAGCTTTTAAGTCTAAATCCCTTGCTGACCACCTACTATCAGCACCTATTTATCTTCTTATTTATTTTCTTCTTGTGTTGCGGTTTATAGAGTATGTAGAGTCAAAATAAATATAGGCTGTCAGGCATTTCATCATTTCCTTACGTGGTACACCCATGCTGCAGCTATATTAGTGGTGTAGTAGTAGCACCAATGGGTCAACTCGACCGGGGAAGGACCACGCTCTCACAGAATACCAGCGTAAAATAGCGGCTAATGCTGCTGTATTTCGTATGGTGAGTGTAGAGAACCGGAGAGCCTTTTTACTGGAAACGAGACATTCAATCTTAGTCCTCACGGGTGACAACGCATCTGCACTTTGATTCGTAATCGAGGATGGATGTAGGATGTCTATGGGCCACAGCAACCACTTACCATCAGGTGGACTGTGTGCTCCCTAATCATATAAAAAAAACATAGTCTTTAAAGGTTTGCAGGTGCGCACAGGCTGCAGCAGTTCTTACTACCAGGTGGATTGTAAGCTTGTTTAATGTCAAAGAAAGGAAGTTACAACTTACTTTATCATGATCTTCGGAGTCGGTGTCGCTGTCGAAGGAGTCGAAATCATCCTCAAGGGGCAGTGCATGTAGTGCAGAACTCGCGTGGCCCGCGTGCGGCACGTGTGCAGCGTGTGCGGGGTGAGTTGGGGCTGGCTCCAGGGACTCGTACAGGTGACCTGAGTCGCTGCTGTCACCGTCTGAAAAAAAATTAGGATATAAAGGTAAAAACCGGATACAGAATAGCTATCAATTCAGTTATTTAAGATTAAGACGATTTTTCTATATACACAACAACACACACAACACAAACACTCACGCCTGTCCCCCAGAGGGGTAGGCAGAGACTACGGACTTCTATTTGGCGCGATCCTGACACACCTCTCTCGCCTCCTTTACATCCATATATCTACGCATACACGCTCGTCGGTTAAGGGTACTCCTAATCTAGCCCATTTTCAATGTATCGCTGATTTGGTCGATAAACCTTCGTCTAGGGCGTCCCTTCTCGACCCTGCCGTTCACTTCTGCAACATAAATTTGCTTTGTCACTCTTTCCTCCTTCATTCTTTCTACATGACCAAACCACCGAAGCATTCCTTTATTAATCCTTGTCATAACGTCATCTTGCACACCACACTTTTCTCTTATCACACTATTTCTCACCCTGTCATTCAGATTCAGTCCTAGCATACTCCTTAAGGACCGCATTTCTACAGCATTTATTCTACTCTCGTGCTTCGTCTGCCAGACCCAACTTTCACTACCATACATTAAAGTAGGGACTAACACAGCATTATGAATTGATATTTCCATATATAATCTATTAATGTGGCATTATTTACATTTAATAATCTAATCTAATCTGATCAAATACCATTTATTTTATTAGTTTTTTTTTTCAACAAAAAAACAGGTATTCGGATAAAATATAGTTCGTAGTTTTATCACCATCGGTTCTTTAATTATTCCGAAGATTAGCACGGACGGACAGACAGACAGACAGAGAGACATACATTTTAAAAATGGTTATTCATGTCTTAATGACATGCAAATAACCCACTGAGCTTAATAAAAACTACTTATTTAAATATTACAGACACTATTAAATTTTATTTATATGTTAACACTAGCTGTTCCCCGTGACTTCGCCCGCGTGTAAATTATTACGATTTGATTTGATTTGTTTTAATTTTTTTTTGCGCGCAAAGCCCAAATTTTTTTTTCTAAAATAAAAGTAGCCTCAGTTACTCTTTGTAACATGAGCTAACTGCCAGTGAAAGTCCCGTGAAAATCGGTCTAGCCGTTTCGGAGTTTAGCCGGAACAAACAAACTGTCTGTCTGACAGACAACGATTTGAAAAATTGTGATGTTATAAGTACCGTATATACTTTTATATTCATTTAGTAAAAAGATGTTATTTTGACATTACAAACAGACACTTCCACGTAGTCCCTATTTCTTGAGCTAAGTAAGTTCTCTCCTAACCTTATTTCAGAATATAAATAGTTTTATTCACCTACACAAAAACCACACCTTGAAAATTTCTAGATATGATAACTGCTTGATTGCATTAGGCTATCAGCAGCATTATTATCTATTGTCAAAAGCAATTTTTTAACCTTCTTAATTTCGTAAATTGACAGAGGTTCAATCTGCAGCATTGTGTTGCGATTTCTTTTATTATTTTCTATCATATAACGCGAAAATGATTGGTACTTATTATAAATCAAATGAAAAGAAAAAAACACTCACGCCATGTTCACAACTTTACAAGTTAATTAAAATTACGGAATATTAAGGATTCTGGAATTTACCGATAGGAGATTAGCACCTAAATCTATGATCATTATATTTATTATCTCGTCATCTATTACGTGGTAGAGCCATACTACAGCTACATATATTGTGGTTGCAGCACGAATGGGTGGACGGGGGAAGCACCACACTCTCAGAATACCTGCGTAAAATAGCAGCTTAGTGCTGCTGTGTTTCGTATGGTGAGTATAGAGAACCGGAGACCCTTTTTACTGGAAACGAGGCATTCCACCTTAGTCATCAGGGGTGACAACGCTTCTGCATTTTGATTATTAATTGAGGATAACTGTAGATGTCTATGGGCCACAGCATCCATTTACCATCAGGTGGACTGTGTGTCACCTTAACTTTATTAAAAAATAACCACTTTATTGAGGACATCTAATTCTATCGATTAGCTGAACCTTTCCAGCAGGTCTCGTAGTCGAATTAGAACGCTAATATATTTAAAAAATGGTTCTAGATAATTATATTTATATTGAGGAACGTTTATAATTATGCAAGCTGAATCTGCGTTATTTTTTTTTTCAAAATAATTCGATAGCGTTACATACTAAACAACTTTGTGATTACCAAATGCTTTGCAATACATTGTGTTTATACACTTTAGTCAATTAAAAAAAAATAAGTTTCGGCAACGCTTGCTGACAATCGGCAAATTTTACTCGAGTTAGAGTTAAATATATAATATTTTTTAGGAATAAAGACTTCATACTGAAAACTTACTTTGATCATAATGAATTATAGACTATTAATAGACTCAGGCGTTACTTTGCGGAATTATTACATTCGGGAACAGTGTAGATATCTATGAAAGAATATTCAATAAAAGAAGAGAAGATAAGAATTAGGCCGGCCACATACATACGGAATTCCGTTTGAAACAGAAACAGAAACAGAAACTTTTTTATTGAATATAGATAATAAATAATACTTATTGAAAGTCACTCTTTTGTTTAATTACCACTGATTCGGAAAAAAACCTCTGTCCTGGGAAGAACCAGCAGGAAACCCAGCGGGACTTTTTTTTTTTAAATAACAGCTTACAATCATTACCCACATTACACATTAACAACACAACAAATTAGAAATAGCTTGGTAGCGATCATCTCATTTCCAGGGGTTATTATCTATCTATACATATAATAAAACTGTAAATAGCAGATGTCTGTACATTTTATATTTTTGTAATAAAAGTGATTAAGGGGTACTATAAATAAGTAATTAAATACATTTCTACCATTTTTAGAATTTTCTGTCTGTCTGTCTGTCTGTCTGTCTGTTTGTTTGTTAACGTATCACGTATAAAGTACTAATTTATATCATAAGAATTGTTAAGGAAATTATAAAGTGTATCTTCGGGTTACATTTAGTCTTTATTTCATTAAAATCAGTTCATTCCATCAAAAGTTATGATAAATATTCTGAAGTATGGGTAGGGAAGTATAGGTACGAATTTGCTCAACGGTGGCTTTGTTTGAGTCATCAAGTGCATTTTAAACTAATATCATATCATAAATCATAGTTAAATTATGTAAAATAATGATATAATTATGTATATCTAAAACGCAGTAAACAAAAGTAATAAAGAACGTATTAAATAAATTATACAAAAATATATTAACCTTATTAACTAAATCTGAAGCACAATAGTTAACCCATTTCTTCGATAGATGGTGGTGTTGTGAAAATGTAATGCAATTGCAAATGTGGTATTTTCCTGTAGATGAGTTTTCGTATTTACTGCTAATCTTTATTATATTACTCGCTGCCCTACTGCGTGTTGACAAACTCAATTTATTCTTTACCGCCGAGTACTCTATGTGGTAAATCAAATTTTAAAAGAGCTATTAACAATTGCATTGGTTTTGGCGAGAGTCAAACTTTATTTTTTGCTTACTGTGCAGGCACTGATTTATAAGTTCTCTTACGTTTTATATAATGTATCAATCACGTCAATTAATCTCTTTTATTTTTAGAATTGATGATGTTAGCAGCGCCATCTCTCTTTAAATATAAACATATTGTTACGAGCTTGGGGTTCGAGACAATTAAAAACTGCCGATTGAATTACCAAAATTGACACTTTAATTACACAACACTAATTACAATCTAAAATCACACTAATAATAAAATACAGCTCGCCGTTATTTCGCTTCGAAGTATTCTCTTGTATCGCCAATTCAATACTGCCCCGGTCGTGGTTTATACCGGCCTTATATAGGGCCTCAGATAGTTTCCAGAACCTTCTACTGTAGCGACATCTAGAATGTTCGAGTACATATCGGTCCCGAAATTTCTGGAAGGATCTTGACTCTCCTAGTTCTGCTACTCGACACTAGAGGGCGCTAGTGTAACTAGTGTTGCCATGTACAAGACATTAATAGTGGCGCGCAACACTGCCCCCTCCTAAGACATGCTCGTCCCGAGCATTGTTGTCCCCATAATAACGCGCCAGTCTATTCACATGGACAATCTTAGTAGTACCTCTTCTAAAATCAGTCAGCACCCGCCAGTTTCCCTGCTGCTGCTGGGCGGTGCTGTTAGCCACACTACCCTCTCGAGATTGATCACCTTTTTCTACAGTTCGTTTAGGGCAGCTGGATCGAAGATGGCCCCTTTTCCCACAACCGTAGCACCTAGGGCTGTATCCTTTATTGCTGTCGTGAACTGTAGCTGCTGAAACCTCCCTGACACGATGGGAACGATGATCCTGCCGCGCGGCTTCCACCTCCAGTGCATGGGCCAACGCATCCTTAAGCGTCTCATGGTGCCCGAGCCTCACAGCAGCTCTGACTTCAAGGTCGCGGATGCCGTCGATGAATGTCTGCACCAGGTTCCCTATAATGAGCGCAGGTACAGACTGGTATGCTTTCCGAACCAGCTTCTCCACCTCAAGGGCCCACTGCTGCAGGTTTTCGTTGCTGCGTTGCACGCGATCTTTGAGCTGCGCACGAAAGACGTGTTCCAGGTGAGCGTCGCCATATCTCGACTCCAGTGCCTCAAGGAGCTGCTCGTAAGTCACTTCCTTACCGAGAGCTTCCAGAACAGTTAAGGCTTGGTCGCGTAGGCCTAGGATGAGAACAGTCATAGCCTGACTTTTATTCCAGCCGTTCGCCTTCATAACAGCCTTGAACTGGATTTTGTAGGCCGACCAGGAAGAAGTCCCGTCGAACGGCGGCACTTTGAATAATCCACCTAGCGAAGGTGTTGTAGCTACCACGGGAGCTGTAATTCCATGTCCATGTTTGAGGTCGTCCAGCGTTTTCTTCACGTCAGCCATCACGTTGTCAACCCGATTGTACACTTGGTCGATTCGGGTTTCAGCCGCAGACAGGCGGTTGTCATATAGAGCAACCTTATCCTTCAACTCCTTTATCTC